TTTTTTTCTTTATCACTTTCAAAGTTAAAATCACGTTGAAGAGTCAAAGAGTGCACTTTTAAAAAAACAAATGCCATCCACCAATAAATAAAAATGTTAAATCCTACCTTGAATGTTCATTCAAACCACTGTCGATTGTTTTTTTTTTTTCTTTGCAAGCAATACAGTCTTCGCATGGACTATAGGTATCAAACTATACTTCAACTTGTTGCATCTTCTATGTCGTCATTCACTCGTCGTAAACCATATTATTTTTTCTTCTTCTGCGTCGTTTCCAAATTCTCAACTTTCTGAAATCTGACTTTGTCCTTCGTTGTTTGCGTCCAGTCCCACTGTGTGTGTTTTATCTATCTCTATCTATTTTTATCGGCTTCATCCCGGACGAGCCCCCAAAATGTAGGATTTTTATCGTTGTCTAGGGGCATTTTGGGGCAATCATAAGGAACCCTAACAACATTTACGAAGAATAGATAGATTAGATGGCAGATAAATACGTCATTGATAAACATACAATTGGCACGGAAAATCACAACAACAACCTCACAACCAAGTACAGGCACGTCTTCACGACCACGTCCCGGTCGTTCCACGGCTCTAGAAATACACGCCCTGATAATCAATTGAACGTCGCGTCTCAAATTTACCCCGTCTAGGAAAAATCCGGCGGCCGCCCTCCGCCTTCAGCGTTCAATTCAATTAACGATTGACCCCTCTTTTTAATATTATTCGTTCGTGGCTACTTCCCCACTGGCGCCGTGCCATTCGGTGCCACCCTGTTACCGTCGCGAGTCGCTCCCGCTCGTATCTTTTATCCTCTTCTATCAACCTATATAGAGATATTCCCTTTTCGTCGCCCTGTTGCTACCCTGAGATCCAGCGCGCCTCGCCTATTCAACCGTGACGGTACAGTCTATGTAAAAATAAATAGGTACAGTCGGAAGAGAATTATTTGGAGAAATGAAGAAATATAATATTTACATAATTACAAACGGAAAAAAATACTTATACCTATAAATACAAACACAGATACCGATTAGGTTTCGTACCCTACAGGAAGATATACTTTAGAATCTGTAAAGTATTTTGCTATGATTTCATCATTACATAATGGTGTATCTTTCAGCATTAATCCTAATTTTTTATGAAATTCTTCATCTGAAGATGTTAATCTGGCATCTGGATCTGATTTTTGAATGGCATGAAGTTGTATTGCAGGAACTCTTGATAGTGCGTCTGCATGCATGTTTAATGTTCCTTTTTTGTATTTGATCTCATAATCAAATTCAGATAGTTTTAGTCGCCATCTGACTAATTTAGAACTTGGTTCTTTAACATTAAATAGCCATTGTAGAGGTTTGTGATCTGACAAGATTGTGAATTTTCTACCAAAAAGATAAGGTCGAAAATATTTTGTTGCCCATACGATTGCTAAAAGTTCTTTTTCAATCGTCGAATAATTACATTCAGCTGGGTTTAAAGTTCTTGACGCGTATGTAATGGGAAGATCAGCTCCGACAGGACCTTGAGATAAAACGGCTCCAATTACATAGTTTGAGGCATCGGTTGTTAATAAGAAAGTTTTCTTAAAGTCAGGATGTTGTAATATTGGGTCATTTATTAATACATTTTTACAAGTTTCAAAGCTATTAAGAAATTCTGCATTGTGTATTATTTTTTTGTCTTTTTTCAAACAAGATGTCATTGGTTTGATCAATTTGGCAAAATTCTTTATGAATTTTCGGTAATAACCTACTAATCCTAAAAATGATTTTATTTCCTTCACCGTCTTTGGTATTGGGAATTTTTTTTATTGCCAATATCTTTTTTGGATTTGGTTTTATTCCATTTGGTGTAATTACATGTCCTAAGAATTCGACTGTCTTGTGTAGGAATTCTGATTTGTCTAATTGTATTTTTTAATTAAACCTCTCGAGTCTCTCAAATACTCTCTTTAAATTTTTCATATGTTCATGAAGTGAAGTGGAAAAAATTATTATGTCATCCATGTATACTAGACATATTCTATTCTGTAATCCTAGTAATACATTATCCATCACTCTCTGGAATGACGCGGGGGCGTTTTTCAAACCAAAGGGCATTCTGTTAAATTCGTAATGACCATTTTCAACATTAAATGCTGTTTTGGGTATGGAATTTTCATGCATCTCGACATATATCCGTAATATTAGGTAATGGATATCTATCATCAATAGTTTTTTCGTTTATCTTTCGATAATCAACGACCATTCTCCATTTTTGTATGCCTGCGGCATCTTCTTTCTTAGGTACTATCCACACAGGGGATGACCGAGGGCTACAGGATGGTCTGATTATGTTATCTTCATTTTTTTTATTTGACAATTTACTTCTTGTTTATGCACATGTGGGTATCTATACGTTTTCGTGTGCACTGGTATTTCATCCGTTGTTTTAATCTCATGTTTGACTTGATTGGTAAATGTCAATTTTTCATTTGGCTTGTGAAAAATTTTAGGAAAAGATTTAATTACGTGTTTTAAAGCATCAAATTCCTCTGAGTTTAAATGATTAATACGCAACGACTTAATGGGGTCATTTGCATATTCAGCATTTTCTAATAAAGTCATTTGCTCTATATTAAATATCTCAAACTGTTCGTCAGCGTAAGGTAAACTTATTTCCGCTAAGTTGTTTATGTTATATGGGACAATAATAGGCTTATTCATTAAGTTATGTACTTCTAGAGCTACTGTCTCATTTATAACTGTAGCTATTGTCGATGGTATATAATACGTTTCATTTTTTATCGGTGGTGTAAGTATTTCAATGCCATCAGCTATATTTGTATTGAAATAACATACTTGAATTGAGTTGCTTGGAATCTCAAAATTTTGATTCTATATTGAAACGGAATTGTTGTTTTATTAGTAGAAAGAAGCATATTAGAAAAATCTATATTTAAATTATTTTCTTGTAATGCTTTGAATCCAATAATTCCATCAAAATAGTCATGGAAATTATACATTATCATTTCAATGTTATTTTGAATATTATATTCTTGTAAAATTGGGATATTGATTTTTCCATACGTTTTTCTTGCACCCATGCAAGTAGTTAGCTTGTTTCTTGAATTAATTATAGAATTTGAAAAATATTCTTCTGCGATTGAGGGTCTTATTAAAGAGGCATGACTTCCTGTGTCAATTAATAATTTACACGGTGGATAGTCTATTTGAATAAAAGGCAGTTGGTTGATTTGATAAGCATTTAAAGTTAATGCTGACTCATTGCATCCAAGGCTTGTAACTGAAAATTTTCGTCTTCAGTTGCGACTTGATTTTCTTCAAAATTTGTCTCTTCATAATAGTTTTGATTTTCAAAACATTCGTCATTTTCGAAATTTTCATCAGGTTCAGGCAATTCGATTTCAAAGATATTATTAATTTCTTCGATTGTATATTTAGAAGGGTATTGATGTTGATTTTGTGCTTTTGGTTGCACTGAAACACCGGACATAGGTGTGGGTTTCGAAAATTGTTGATTAGTGTTTTTTCGAAAGGCATTATTGTAGTTTTTGCCAAAAGTTCCTGAACTAGTAGGAAATTTTGTTGGTACATAGTCCTTTTTAGGTTGTATATTAATAGGTTGGGATGGAAACTGTGGTTTCTGTGGTACATACGATGTTTTTTTGTGTATATTGAGGTTTTTGTTGAGTATAGGTTTGTTGTGAACGAAATTGCGTATTTTTATTTTTGAAATTTGAAAAATTTTGATTTTGATTTTGATTATTAGAATGAGTAAGTCCTCTACTAAATTTCATGTGGTTTTCAGCTAGTTGATAATTTAACACAAATTTGTTAGCTGCATCCAACGTTTGTGGATTTTGAAGCATTAAAATTGTTCTTAATTCGGTTGGAGAATTAGTGACTAGATTTTGAATAGCAATAATTTCGTTTTGTTCAATTAAGACATTTGCAACTACCGTTAAATTAGGATCGCACATGATTTTAGATGTAATTCTTTGAACTAAACCTTTTATTTTATCCAAATACTCAATAATAGTTTCTTTATTAGTTTTAGTGGTATACATAAGCTCTTGTACCAAATTCTGTCTAAAATATTGATCACCATACTTAAATCTCAACGCTTCTCTTATATCAGTCCATGTTTGTAAATCAGGACGTGCCATAAGAAAATTTCCTGCGTCATTTATTAATTTTGATTTTATGGCGGTAACCACATACTCTTTTTGAGCATTTTCACCAGTATAGTAAGTTTGATAGAATTCATTGATGTTTCTTATGAAATATTCTAAATATTGGCTTTCGCCACTGAAAGGTTTGATAAGTTGTACAATTGATTTTAAATTTTCACTCAATAACACAAAACTTTTTTTCTAAAACGCACGCATTTCTTAGAATTAATAAGAAAGTTGTCTTTTTTTTACAAAGTTTGACACCCTGTATCTGGAAAACGAAGCATTTCCGGACACATGTTTATTTAAAAAAAAGCTTAATTATTACGAGATCTACCATCCCTAGAAGTTTGTAACAATCCTTCCGTGACACCCTGTATATATAATGAAATAATTATTTCTAAATATAAATATGAAATATAAAAATAAACAATTTCGCCATTGTCAGTGTCATTCATGAAACTTCACAATGCACATGCGTCAGTAGTATTCGACACGTCTCGAGATGTAGAAATGAAACTATAAAATAAATCGCATTTAGTCCATATTTTTGATGCACAAAGTGCCAACCATGTAAATCTTGTCGACTGATAGACTTCTACATGACACAGAGTCCCGCTGCTGGCTTCCTAGCACATGAACATACAAAAGTCTGTTGTCCTTAAAACCTGCAATATAGTACGCTCATTCCTCAATCCGGGCAATAGACTCTGAGAAGACTTGGTAAGAGCCCGTCATCTCCGAAACACCACTTTGTGCAAAGTGAGAAAAAGAGAGATGATAATAATAATAATAATAATAATAATAATAATAATAGGCAATAATATCATCTGCATTGTTAAGTTAAAATGAAATTTTATTTAAAAATGTGCTATAAAAAAATAAAAATAGATTTTAAGGTACTATGCTAAGAAAATATACATATTCACAATTTAGATACACGGTACACCTAAAGGTGCGCCCAGACTACTCGTAATCGGACTTGTGTTCGCGGCACTCGCAATGACCTAGAGACTTATAGTCAAGCTGCAGGTTGTACCTACTCATCCGATTTTTGTCCAGAAATCGAATTTCAGTTACTCGCGGAATTTTGACTTGAGAGGATCTACATTTAGGTGCGCAATGTTTCAATGGATCGTGACAAAGTCGTTATCAAAGTTACCTAGCTAAATGATATGTAAGTTTATTATTCAGAAATGTCCTCGAAAAACAACAACAACAACAATCAAACTGAAAGTGGACCAGTCTCTCTCCACATGGCTTGCGCAACTTGACGCAAATCCCTTTGATGTGGTACCGACACCAAACAGATCCTCTCGAGTATAGTAACTTGGCCGCAAGTATCGCCAGCACGAACGCGAATACGAGTAGTCTGTACACAACTGAAAATGTCCCTTTATATTTCTTAAAATCTAAAGGTATTAGCAATAAGTTGGTATCATTAGCTGCGATTGTCCGTTTATCAAAGCTTGCTGATTCTTAGGACAAACAGTCAGGCTGAAATTGAAAAATAAATTAGTCAAGTATAAGCAGGTACATTTTGTCTATAAATATTTTATGTAAACTAAAAAAATCTTATTTGAGTTTTGGCCAACAAAATTGATGGTTTGATGAAGTAGGTAAACGAAAAGGCTGAGGATTTTGATCAAGGTTGAAACTCAATACTTGAAACTGAAAAGTACCAAGCTAAATTTAAAAAAAAATAGGTACGTCAGTATGCATTCACGGGTGTTTAGCCGTCCCAACAAAATTGGGTGTTTGGAATTAATCCAATTTATTAATTTTGTCACTTGCATTCGGCATTCTGTTTGGACATACCTTTCCATTATATTATATAATTAGGTATTTGGTAAAAATTAAAATTACGGATTGTTGAAAATCTGAAGCTCTGTAGCACATTTCTTGTTTAAATCAAAAAAACAACATAAATAAGATTATCAATGCATACCTCTGCTGATTCTCCAGTCCCCAAACAATAATTTTCGTTAAAAAAATCTTCGGTTTACTCAAAAACCTCCACGTCAAAGGATTGAACAGACTACTATTAAACCTCCACTCCACTTCTACAGCTTTTAAATCCATAACTTCATCTGTGGCCACAACTTTCATGTAAATTCCACCTTAAAAAAAAAAGTAGAATAAGTGATAGATCTATGGAAAATTGAATAGGAAAGTTTTATACCTGGCTCATAATAACCACTAACGAAACCAGCTGGTGCAGTCTTGAAACCTGACCCATCGGTGGTACTATGCATTGTAAACATTAGCTGTCCAATTTCACCCGCGTGTGTCTTACTATCAAGGCTACCTGATACTTTTACCATGATTCTATAGTGTCCTCCTAAAAAATAATAGGTAGCTACTTCCCCTTTTGTAATATTCAATAACTACTATTAACTAATCAGCTTTTCGAAAGGTTGAATCAAACAACGGAACTTGAAAGGGGGCAACAAATGATTGATTCGCGTGAAAAAGTTCCTGTTATGAAGCATTCGCTTTGAAACAGATCACGAATCGAGTTCCCAAGACCTTGAACGTGACCAATTAAGGGCCCCATACACTACGATGAAACACGACGGTTTTCATCGCCACGAGGAAACACGTCGTTCCAAAACCGAAGTGTGTGGTAGAAAAACACGACGGTTTTCTACCACACACTTCGGTTTTGGAACGACGTGTTTTATCGCGGCGATGAAAACCGTCGTGTTTCATCGTAGTGTATGGGGCCCTTTTTAGAGGGCGGTGAACATGTTTGAACACAGAGGAAACCGGTAATAGATCGCCAACAAACTTAAAAAAAGAAAAATCCGGCGATCCAAGGAGGAAAAACTGAAAAAAAAAACATTGGTGGTTGGACAAGATATCTTTCAATAAACGCTCTACACTTTCCTACGGTGAGGAATACTAAAAGTGTTCTGACGCAGGCGCAGACAAGACGGCTGGCAGCATAGCAGTCTACAAGAAACAAGCAAACAAGTGGCCATTATTCTAAATACCTTGAAATCAGTCTATGGAAGAAAAGAACAGTGTCGGCAGACTTGGATGGAGAGGAAATCAAATATCCCATAGGGGATTTATTTGACAGACATAGAGATGTGAAGCATGTGGCTAGATGGGAAGATAAAGATGATGACGGAAAAAATAGGTCTCTAAATGACAGTATTTTCAAAGATATGTTCTAAGAACACCAAAGCATTCTTCAGCGCCAAAAAGGCACCATACCTCTACAAAAGGTTCAAATCCCCTTAGATATAGAGATCGTATCCAGCTACTCAAAGATGTTGCTTCTATCAACTTCCGATGGAAGGAGCATTTTCAGGAGCTCTTGAATAGATATTCAAATGTAGATGATGAGGTCTTCAATAAAGTTCCTCGAAACCCCATTCAAAACCACCTGAGTGATATTTCTTCTCACCAAGAGGTCGAAAAAGCTAACTGAGAGACAGCAGACATGAACTTCAGTGCAAGACAAATGCGAGGAAAATCGCAAGTGAAAAACAAACCTTTGTATAAGGCATTTGTGAACCTTGTCAAAGCATTTGACTCTGTTAACCGAGTCGCTCTTTGGAAAATACTGTCGAGCTTAGTTTGGGTGGGCACTTATGTCGTGGTTGTCAAATACCCCTTTCAACACACGGCCAAAAGCTGCGCTGGCCTACTTTAGTCGGTGTTGAATTTCTGCGTCGATAAATCCATTTGTGGAAAGATGAAGGTATGGAAAGTATTCTATATTTTCTAGCATTGATAATCCGGATCTGGTGCATTCGTTTTTGGAGCAGGGTGACATACGGTTTTTGTTTTATCCGTGCTTAGCAAGTCGATGCTTTCGTATGCTTGTTTAAATGCATTTAGAAAAGTTTTGTAGGTCTTCCTCGGCTTCTCCGGCTCCGTTGTTGCTAAACCAATAGCGTTCTTGTTGTCATGCAGTAAGCGAAGTATGTTGATGAATTTAGGCGGACAGTATTTTCCAAATAACGACTATTAATCGAGTCGCTCTTTGGAAAATACTGTCCGTCTAAATTCATCAACATACTTCGTTTACTGCATGACAACAAAAACGCTATTGGTTTAGCCACAACGGACCCAGAGAAGCCGAGGAAGACCGAAGACCTACAAAACTTTTCTAAATGCATTTAAACAAGCATACGAAAGCATCGACCTGCTAAGCACGGATAAAACAAAAACCGTATGTCACCCTGCTCCAAGAACGAATGCACCAGATCCGGCTGTAATTATCAATGCTAGAAAATATAGGATACTCTACACACCTTCATCTTTCCACAAATGAAATTATCGACGCAGAAATTCAACACCGAATAAAGTAGGCCAGCGCAGCTTTTGGCCGTGTGTTGAAAGGGGTATTTGACAAGCACGACATAAGTGCCCACCCAAACTAAGCTCGCGGTCTACACTACCAGCACTTCTCTAAGGATGTGAAACTTACACAACCTACAGGCGGCACCTGAGGCGCTTAATAAAGTATCACCGGCCGGCGCTGCTTAAGAAGAATGCTCAAAATAAACTGGCAGGACAGGTGAACGACTAATAGTAGGTATCCTTGAGGATACAAATTTCACCAGCATTGAGGGAATGCTCATGCAGTATCAGCTTTGCTGTGCTTGTCGTGCTTTAGTATAATTATCTGGGATAAAATTAACTAAGGTTTGGAAAAGTAGTATCTAAAAACCCCCATACGTAACAGTAGTTATTTGAGAAGGGTATATGTAAAAATTAGTAAAAATGTTATAATATTAACTTTTCTGCATAGTTTTTCTATCGATAGTTGTCTTATGTATACCTACTTACTACAAAATGGTTTTTCACCACCAGTAATCAGATACTGATTTAAACTAAAATTCATGCCATTCCCATAAAATTTATTGTAATGCTTTTGTCCGTAAAAGCCAAACTTGATACACCTTTCTCCATATTCGCCACAATCCCAACATTTTCCATCAATAAAATCTTGTATCGAGGTGCAGGCTACTGATAAATACGAACATTTAGGATTAATGCTATCCAAAAATACTTGATGAGCTCTAACGTGGTTACAAGCCAAATATTTTTTCATGCCATTGAAAAAACTGCCTTTTTCATCTTTAATAAACTGCACCATACTTTTTCCACAACCTGGCTGATTGGTACCTCCATTAGGAAAATAATCAACGTGCCCTAAAATCTTTGCATGAATTTGAAATTAAAAATAAATTAAATTTGAAATACCTTACCTATGCTTTCTGTCATCCCCAAACTACCTCTTATAAACTGACTGGCATCTGTATGAATAATATCAACGTATTTGGCAGCACTTCTATCCAATCGTACCGGTCTTGCAGCTTTGGCGAAATGAGGCTCCGCAGGATCTAAACCAGATATTCTACCAAGACTTAAATTGAATTGGTCTTGAAGTGTATAACCAACATAACCACATAAATGTGCTCCTAAGGAATGGCCTATGCAATGAACATGTTCCAAGCCAATATCTCCCGTATATGCTGCAATGTCGTAGAGAAGGTGCGCTGTCATGGAACCTAGAAGAAATTTGTACGTGGTAATTATTAATAACTAACCTAATAAGATGAAACATCTCATAATCAAAAAAAAAAATTAAACATTTCGGAATCCTTCGGTCAAACTAACGTCTATTACTAAGAATAATCACAATTGAGATGATAATAATTGACATCATGGACTGACATTCAGTAAGGAGCAGAGCTGATCTAAAATTATTTTAGCTGCTGTGTAATGCAGAAAAAAGAATCTCCTTTTTGACATTGTCATCAGTGTAATTTCACAAGCTTTCACAGGGACCCAAAATTTTCTTACTGTCTATATAAAATTTTAAATTCTAAATTATGTTTTAAAATTCATTTATTGAAAGTCCGATTTTCAGAGAATTTGTTTATATTGTCATTAAGTCAAATAAGAAGCTCCCTGAAAAAAAAAACATTATTTGGATACACACTGAGAAAACTTCCAGCCAAAAATTCTTTACTAGTGTATTTTCAGCTATCATAGCAGAAATTTTAGCTGAAATTGCAAAACGATCCTATTCTAGTTGTAGGATGCACTTTACTATGTTAACTGTTTTATTTTATAATATAGGTTTCTTCAGGAACGTTTAATATTACAATTATTATATTAATTGACAACAACAACCATATATCTATCAAACTGACATAACTGGTTTAACTGGTAAGTGTCTATTAATATAGGTAATTATTATGTTAATATTACCTATATTAACATCTTCCCCTTTAAATTCTAAATTAAATTTGTTTTATATTTTCGTAGAAACCGTGAGTTTCTTCGTAAAACATTTTCATTATCCAATGTTTTAATTAAATAAGATCTAGGCTGTGAACATTTACTAATAATAACTCCTGGATGCCAAAGCTTAGTAGAAACGTCTTGAATCAATACCTTTTCCCCCTCAACAAAATCAGTTTCACCGATACTATTTTTGTTGTAATACTCTTTTCGCCTGGTTTGCATATTTTCCATTTCTGTGAAAACTGCACTAGGTACAAGTTTCGGTATTAAATTTTCTGATAAAATTGGTAATTTGGATCTTAAAATTCTACTTGACATCAATTGTGCTGGTGAGTAAATAAGACCTGCTACAGGTGAATTACGATAATTTAGCAAATATAATTCCAAATCGATACCAGAATCATGTGCTTTTTTGAGCATAGTTTTGGCAATACCAACGGCTTTTTCCGCCAGTCCGTTAGATTGAGGATAATGTGGACTGCTTGTTTGAATAGTAAAATTCCAATCTTTAGCAAACATTTTGAACTCAAAAGATGAAAATGGCATATTGTCAGTAATTAGCAAAGAAGGAATTCCTAATTTACTAAAAACGCCTTTAAATTCTTTTATCAAAGAAGTAGAAGTTTTATTTTTAATCGGACAAATTTCAATCCATCTAGAAAAATAGTCCATAATAACAAGATAATTTTTACCAGCGTATTGTGCAATATCAGCACCAATTTTATAAAATGGAATATTAGGTATGGTATGATTTATAAGGGGCTCTTTTGACTTTGATCTGACATATTTTTGACATAATGAACAAGAAGACACCACATTTTTAACATCATGTATGATTGCTGGCCAGTAAAAGAAATTTTTAACAATTTCAAGCACTTTAGATGCACTGGAATGTGTTTCATGTAATAAGTTTAACATAAATTTTCTCATTGAACTTGGTATCATCAATCGATCATTATAATAAAGTAAACCATCTGCAAGTTCTATATTATTTCTTAATTTGTAATAATGAGTTAATTCACCGGTCATATTGAAATTTTTTGGCCAACCATTTTTATAAAAATTTATAATATTAGATAGAACACTATCTTTGAGAGATTCTTCTTGAAATTCTTTCAATTTTTCATCAGAAATATTTAAAGTTTTATCTGTTATTACATGCACAACGTCATTCATTAAATGATCATGATATATAGGTGTTTTTACATTACATCTTGATAAAAAATCCGCAATATACATTTTTTTGCCAGGCAAATATTTTATTTTAAAATTATACAAAAATAACTTTAGTTTCAAACGCCGAATTCTATTATTTTGTATTTTCCCAATGCTTTTTGAAATGATAGATAATAATGGCATATGATCTGTATAAATAGTAACATCATTGTGTCCATAAATATAATTATGAAATTTCTGACAGGAAAAAGTAATAGCCAAAAGTTCTTTTTCAATTTGCGCATATTCAATTTCTGCTGAATTTAAACATCTAGAAGCAAAACAAACAGGCTTATTATTTTGTAAAAGACAACATCCAAGTGCATCTTTTGATTCATCACACTGAATGACAATAGGGAGTGATATATCAAAATTAGCAAGAACTTGACTACTACAAATAATATTTTTAATTTTATTTAACGATTGAACTTGTAGATTTGACCAATTCCATTTAATGTCTTTTTTTAATAATTCGCGCAAAGGAGAAATAACCTTGGATAAATTTGGAATAAAATGCCTTAAATAATTTATCATACCTAATATTCTCTGTAATTCTGTTTTATTTTTTGGATGAGGCAAATTTTTAATTACTTCAATTTTTGAAGGATCAGGCAACATTCCATTTTTACAAAAAAATACCCCTAAGTATTTAATTTCTTCTACACAATATTGAAATTTTTCAAAATTAAATTTTATATTATATTTTTTAGCTCGTTCCAAAACTTCCTGTATAACCAGGTTATGTTGATCAATAGTATCGGTAGCTATACAGATATCATCAAAATATATTGTGACCCCTGGAATACCTCCAAAATATTTAAATACTAATTTGTGGAAAAGTTCCGGTAAATTACATAACCCGAATGGTGCTCTCAAAAATTTGTATGTTCCGAATACTGTACTAAATGCACAGAGTTGGCTTGACTCCTTATCTAATTTTAAATGATAAAAACCATCTTTAATATCAAGCACACTGTAATATTTTTTATATGCAAGAGATGGTGCTAGTTCCTCTATTGTAGGAATAGTATATCTTTCCCTAATAATAAATTTGTTTAAATGAATTGGATCTATACAAATTCTTAAAGATTTATTAGGTTTTTCGACAATTACTATATTAGAAACCCACTCGATTGGTTCATTTACTGAAACTATAATTTCCCTTTCAACCAAAAAATCTAAAGCTGGTTTTAATCTATCTTTGATTTTCATAGGTATTCTACGAGCAGAACTGGCAAAAGGAATAGCATCTTTATGAAGCTTAATTTGGCAAATATCAGGAAAACAGCCTAAACCTTCAAATGTGTCTTTATATTTTTCAAAAAAAAATGTTTTATTACATAAATTTGAATGATTTGCTATTGTATAAATACGTTTAACTAAATTCAAATTGAGGCATGAATTTAACCCTAATATCGGAACACAATCGTCTTTAACTACAACAAATTCTAAAATATTGATATTTTTATCTGTTTCCACTTGAAAAACAATTTTACCTAATGATTTAATTTTGAATCCCCCGTAGGCAATTAAATTTATATTGAAAAATTTAATATTATCTTGCAAACCAAGTTGCTTGATGTATTTTAATGGCAAAATATTCACCTCTGAACCTGTATCAAGCTTAAATTTGATTTCCAAATCCTCCAGTTTCAACCATTTATACCAAGATTTTTCAGTCTGGAGGTCACCTGCATTATTTATTACATTTATAGAAAACCATGAATTGGATAATTCTTCGGATAATTCCGTTTTTCCATTTACTTCATATACTTCCACATCATTTCGGGATTCATTTTGTGTTTCTACTTCATTACAATTTTTTCTTACATCGTTTTGTTTCTGGGTTTTACACACCGAAGAAAAATGGTTAATACGTGAACAATTGAAACATTTTTTTCCAAATGCTGGGCAATTACCATAATCATGCTGGGAACCACATCGAAAACATTTAAATTTGTTGAATTGTATTTTTTTGATCACTGATCTGTCAGTTTTATATGTAACTTTGTCAAGACACATGTCATTGGGAATTGAAGATAAAATTTTGATATATTTTTCTGCTAATTCAACAGATTTGCATACATCAATCATTTTTTCTAATGAACAGTCATCACGTAAAAAACGTTCCTTCAAATTTTTTGAAAAAATTCCCAATACAATTTGTGCTTTCAATAATTTGTTTTCCTGACTTTCAAAATGACATAAGTTGATCAGAAATTTTAGGTCAGCATAAAATTTTTCAAACGGCTCACCTTCTTGTTGCTTCCTATTTAAGAATTGGTATACATTCATTATTTCATTTTCTTTGGGTATGCAATGATTTTCCAAAACGCGTAAGATCTTCTCAACATTTTCTTCTTCTGGCTTCAGATCAGAAATAGATTTGTACAACTTTAGAGCTTCTGATCCCACCAAATTCTTTAATCTTGCTACTTGAACTTCCTTCGATTTTTTATTCGTTTCAGTAGCCAAAAAATAAATCTGTACTTCATCATTAAAGTTACGAAAATTTTCAGCAACATTTCCACTAAGGAATAGCTCTTTGGGCTTGTTAAATTCCATTTCTTCGTAGGTCGGTTCACTATTACGACTGCGCCATGTTTTATTTTATAATATAGGTTTATTCAGGAACGTTTAATATTACAATTATTATATTAATTGACAACAACAACCATATATCTATCAAACTGACATAACTGGTTTAACTGGTAAGTGTCTATTAATATAGGTAATTATTATGTTAATATTACCTATATTAACATTAACATAATGTCACTTTGCTGTAACAGTAAAGTTTTTTTCTGCCACTAATAGTTTTTTCCTGATACAGTAGAAACACTTATTATTAATAAGTATGTTTTCTACCGCGGCAAAGTGCATGCCTGCAACTATGAAAAAGTTTTTTATAAGTTTTTTTAATTATTGCTGGAAAGATTTTGGCTTCTTCAGCGAAAAGATTTTCAACAAAATCCGTCAGGTGGTGAGGTGGGGGGTGATTTTGCTATCCACGAGGTTTCCCGACGCTAGCATCGCTCGGTAGTCCGTGGTAAACGTCAAACGTAGAAGGAAGCTTCTGCTGTCGGCTCGTGCAATTTTGTAATCAAGTCAATAAAGTGACGTCGATCGAAATATTAAATTGTTTGTTTTTTTTTTAGTTAAGCAGCGTTTTCCTAGCAACGCACATTTTACGCGGCGTAGAACGTAATTCGGTCGGCGTAAAACGCTGAGGACATGTGTAATGAAAATCAAATGGAGGTGTTTTCCTACACCGCGTAAAAACGACTTGCGCTAGCGTAATACGGTCGACGCAACTGAACGACTGCTCGGAGAGCAGTCTATTCAGTTGTACGCTGCGTGTTGGCAAAGAAAATGCTCCTGTTGTATTATATTTACATACCTCAATGTTAGGCCAAGCTTTTCAGGTGGCGAAATAGGATGTCGCACGCGATTACCATGATTCCTTACTTAAATCTTTTCTCACAAGATTGAGGAGAAATGAGATTTGCTGCCTTGTAACTATAAAATATGCTTTTCAAATTTTACTTCGTCGTCGAGATGTTTATGGATAAGTATCTCTAAATGCTCCTTCGCTTCTTCTTTTTTGAAATAATTGACTAGCAGAATTTCTAGTCCTATCATAAATCGTAACTATTATATTAATCTCTTCTTGCAAATTTTCATCTTGTAATAATAGGGCTGTTTCTGCAGAAATAATAAACCAGTCAGAGTGAATTTCATTGGTTGAAACTAGTTTTCTGACTGTTTCTGATTCTTTTCAACCAATGAAATTCGCTCTGACTGGTTTGTGATTTCTGCAGAAGCAGACATAATAATAAAGCCTCGAATAAAGCCAAAGCTAATTTCTCGAGTAATTTCTTTATTGATATACTCATCGCGACGATCGGGACGCAACTGACAATCCTAGGAAAACACTTTTACGCAGCGCAGTAGCTGTTGCGTTGCGTCGGCCGTATTACGTTCTACGTCGCGTAAAATGTGCGTTGCTAGGAAAACGCTGCTTTAGTGGGTGAATGTGGTAGGGTAGGTATACAACGGTATATAATGATGTATCTATTTAATATTTTTTATGAGCTTATTCTTATTCTCTTCAAGATGTTCTAGAATAAAAAATGTTGGTTTTCTGTTTTTGTCTTATACAAGATGGCGTAGCCTAATCCTTTTTTCGAATATTATTATAGGTATTTTTAATTGATCGAGGAGACAGTGCATTTGTCACAGGACTTCTCCAAGTTTGTTTTGATTCAACCAACCTCCTATCTCATTACTGATCTCCCTATATAAAGGCTCTTGTATTATTGTATTTATTGTTTATGCTCCTTTATATATTTAAGTTTTTTGATTTTTCATTATAAGAGTATTTTTTTCTTATAACGGGAATAACAATTTTCCATTTTTCTGTCCATATTTTATTTCTATAAAAAAATATTATTTTTTAATAAAATATATGTATTGTTTAATTGTAGGTATTTGTTTTTTATTTTTACCCCATGAACATATTTACCCCACTAATGGCCGTTTGCACCGACCATTTTAAGGATGCCTTAGCGATAAGTTTTCCTTAAAGTGACATTTCTCCACGTAAAAATGTCATTGGATACTTATCGCTAAGGCGTCCTTAAAATGATCGGTGCAAACGGCCATAATCAACTTTTTAACCATGAGCAACTGACTTTATTGTCACTGCAAAGTAATTTTATGGTCACACAAAAATACTTTAATGTAGCACCATGGGCGTCGTTACGAGGTTTCTCAGGGGGGGGCAGCACTATAATAAAATCATATCCAATAGCACCGCTGGTAACCGCCGGAGGCGACATTTTTTTTGGTGCCACGTCCCTTTTTTGAACATTTTAACGTACTTTTTTCTATTTTGGTGTCATATCGAAGTCTTTTCGACACTGAAATTAGTTTCGAAAAGAAGCTCTTTGTGACACTCCTTTTTTACTTATCGGAGGTTGCTAACACTAGCTGACTGATGGCCATCGAACTGTCATTCGCGATTTTATAATCAATAAATAATAGAAGATTTCTATATTTGGCATGTAGTGTTACCAACCTAAACATATGAAATCAGGAAATATGAGAATAAAATTTCCAAGAAAAATTTGTTGTTTTTAATTAAACAATACCAAAATAGAAAAAATAGTATAAAATATTCGTTTCATAAGACATTTTATCGCACTCGCCCTTAAGAAGACTCGCCTTCGGCTCGTTTTCTAATATAGGGCTCGTGCGATAAAATGACGTCTTATGAAACTTGTATTTTAATGTACTAATTTGATATCGATATATATGTAGTTAAAAATGATGGTATTTTTTTCCGCAACAAATTCACTGTCCCCATCATTTGATTAAGCTACGTTTACACTTGGAAAGTTTACTAAGGGCCAAATTCTGGACTGACTGGTGAACGTCTGGTTGTTACCTAGCAGGTACTTTCTATGCACTAGAGAATAGAAAGTACCTGCTAGGTAACAACCAGACACTTACCAGTTGGTCCATAATTTGGTCCCAAAGGAAAGTACTTGTCATGATTAACAGTTTGAGCGAGACAGGAAAGTGCACTTGCTACTTGCCGGCAAGCGCTTTCCAAAAGTTGATGGACCGGCTAGTTTACTTGCCGCTACGCCAAATTTCTGTTTGTACTTTCCGTGTGTAAACGGGTCACAAAAACAGGCATCCACGTTTCTGTATAAAACAGGCGTCCACGTTTCTGTATGAATACCTACTACAAGGAAGCAAAACTATCACCAGTGGCAAGATATCGTAATGTGACTTCCAATTTGATTCTAGGAGAAATAAGACTTCTCATCTACGTTTCTGACTTTGTCAGTTTAGGCTCGGTTCAACTAGTCTTGACGGTTTTTGAAATTTTTGGTATGATAATCTCATAAATTCCTATAAGAATCAGGATCTTCAATTGATATCTCCTTCAAGAGTCGTTTCGACGCACCCAGAAGAGTGGGTACTTCTACTTCTGATCCAATCTCTAACCCAAACTCGTTTTTTCCTATTTTTCTTGCGTTCTAGCACGCACTACCCTACTTGGAGCCATTTTATTTTCTACTGTTTGGCAAATAAACTTGAAAATATGTAAACACAAAACAATGAATAAGTTTAGTGACGGCAAGTACTTTCCAAGTGTAAACGTAGCTTTAGGTAATTGTCTTTACGCCAGACTATAAAAAAGGTACTTAACAAATTTTGAAAAAATGGGAAAAAGTAATACGAATACGAACTATCTTTTACTTCTTTCTTGTTCAAAAGACTATTTCTAGGCGGGGCTAGGGGGGGGCAAATGCCCCCCTTGCCCCCCCGCCCCCCAAACGACGCCCATGTGTAGCACCAAATTTACTTTGTAGCCACAATAAAGTTACTTTATTGTCATAAAAAAACTGTATAGTCGTAGCAAAGTCACTTTATAGTCACAATAAAGTTACTTTATTGTAACGACAAAGATATCCTTTATAGTCACAACAAAGTAACTTTGCTGCCACGGGTAAGACGGTTCAATAAAGTTAACTCTATTACCACAGTAAAGAAATTGGCTGGAGCCTATTCAAAAAAAAAATTAGCTGTGGTCGCTAAAAAATTGGCAAGGGACATTAGGTAGATTTCTCAGTGCAGATAATTAAGTTTTAAATTTGAAATTTGCTCCTATATAATATACAGGGTATACTTACCATTTAAAACGAAACAGGCTGTATATCTGATGCTACTTTAATTATTTTTTTAAATCGCTCGTACACGTTATTTGATTGTGTGAGTGTTTGAAACATTTTCAGCACTAATTTAACATTCTAGGGGGGGTGGGACTAACCCTCACCATTCCAAATGGAACAGAGGGTCGAGTGATACCTGTTTTAAAAGAGCGTTCAATTTTCTTTCAAATGACATCAAATGAAAGAGAATTGAACGCTCTTTTAAAAGAGGTATCACTCGATCCCTTCTTTCATTTGAAATAGTATAGGTTAGTCCCACCCCGACTAGAGGGTTAAAGTTGAAGTGCTAAAAATGGTTACAGAAAACTTCCCCCTTTGAAAATCAAATTACGTGTACGAACAATTTTTAAAAAAATAAGTGTGGCATCAGATATTTACCCTGTTTCGCTTTAGATGGTACACCTTGCATATGTGACGTAGCTCCGCCACAACATAACATAAGACGACTTTTTCATTCGATTGGCTATAAATTTAAAAAATGAGAAATGGATATATACTTATATAAAATAGATTAACAAAATCGTTATGAAAAAGTACCTTGGTCTTCAATCAACCAATATTTTATACTAACCTATACATGGCTTTCTTCAAGTCTATATCAAAACATCATTCTTCAATTTGCAATGAAGTGTGTATCCACAGAAGTTCAAGGTTCAAATGCCCAAACGGATCAATAAAAAAAGCAATTTCCTAATATTTTTATTTCGAATCTGATTTACGTTTATGAACCCTTATTAAACCAAATTTCTAATGTTGAATAATAGACTTACCTATAAGTCTTATGTTCGCTACTGCTTGTGTATATGGCGGACTAGAACCTCCATGCCAATCTATTACTATGACATTGCTGTCTTCTGCGTCTAGCAGTGCTTGAGCAGTATTGTAAATCTGCAATAAAAAACAAATTATTTATTGTGTAAATAATTTTGTATAGGGTCAGTTTCTTTATCAACAATAAGTTCTGATGATATTCTTACACCTAAGTTGGCCTGTGTGATTTTTTCTATTCTAGCATATATTTTAATAACAATTTGTAAATTATTTTTATATCGGTAATTAATCGCCATGTATTACATGGGTGTCCCAGAATACGATTGGTAGTATGAATAAAAATTTAGTAAAAGCTTTATCTTGCATTTCCTAAGCAAATACTTACTTTGCAGTGAATAAAAATGAGTATTAGCTTTAACTAAAAATTCAATTAGTAAAAGCTACAGTTTTTAGCATTGTCTTGAAATGGTGTGAATAAAAGTAAGCAATTCCTAATTATATGAAGGAAAAGCTTACATTTTTGCAAGCCTGATAAACCTTGGCTTAAACATTTTAGTGGTGTTAAAATTTTGGGAGAAATGGCTGCGTCTTTGAATATAAGGTCTGCGAAATTTTATCCCGAGAGAAAAGAAAGTCGTGCCGAGGAATACCACAGTCTCTTAATTCGAGGTTGGCTGAAGATTTTTCAGGAACCTCCTCCTCCAACAAATCACTATCAGAATTACAAAAAAAAAACTTCTTCTTCTTTTTGTAATTTACAAAGCTCCACTGCAAGAAAATGGACTATTAATATTTTTTCAACTTATAGAATTGTCTGAATCACTATTCATTTCCACCTTGAAGCTTTGGCGTTCGATACAATTCGATACCGCTACTTGTTTGAAGGAGGTACGTTCACCAACACTCAACTGTTGCCAACAGTTGAGTAGCTGAGGAAACAATGGGTACATTCATCAGTACTTAGTAGCTAACTTGCAGCAGTGTAAAGCAGTTGAGGATAGTTGAGATACAGTGGATGTAAATCTCCTGAACGCATAGTTGAGAGTTATAACAAATGACAATTCAATAAGTTGAGTTGGTAAGCGTAAACTTTTACCGCTTAGAGAAATCGGCAGCAGCTGACAAAAAGCGGTTTTTACTGAGCGAATGGTCCCGTTCACCAGCAACATGTTGAGTGATTAGTCAGCGGGTTTGTTGAAAACAGATGAAAATCAGCTCTAGGCCAATCAAAACTGTTTTACCTTGTGTATTCCACTTGTTAGAACAAAGCCGCTCACAATCACTGAACATGTTGAGTGCTGGTAAACGCGACCATTGTTTTTCCCAACTACTCAACTGTTGGCAACAGTGTGCTGGTGATCGTATCCAATCGCGTTCAGTGAAAGCCGCTTTTTGTCCTGCCGATTTCTCTAAGCGGTAAAAATTAACGCTCACCAACTCAATCTATGCTTTAGACGTGCGCAGAAGTGTCGGGCGTTCAGGAAATTTACATCCGCTGTGTCTCAACTATCCTCAACTGCTTTACCCTGCAAGTTAGCTGCTGAGTACTGGTGAACGTACCCAATTATTGACTTCTTTCATTGTTTCCACGCCGCCGGTCATAGCTTTGTTCCAACACATCAAGAAACCGTACAATGTACCGTCATGATTCTGCGCAAAGCCAAAAATTTGTGCGTAGAACCCGAAATTCCTATACAGAGTGGTTTTTAGACCGTTCATGGGACGGTTTTTGACATGTTGGAACCAAACCACATACCATTTCGGTTTATAAAAATATAAATATCGGCTTTATCAGTATAAAAACTCGCAAACACACTTTTTGAAAAGGTTGTAGAAATTTCACGCAATCTCCGTATTTTCAGTAAACGCTTTAAATATCTAGCTTTTGCTAGTAAGTAAAAGGAAAAGGTTATTCACTTCAATTTCAGCAAATGCTATTAGCAAAAGCTTAATCTACCTAGTAAAAGCTGAAGCTATCACTTAATACTAAAAGCAAAAGCTCAGTTTTTATTCACACTGCCCAATAATGTCCTGTAAACACCAATATCCCAACAAGATGTTTCCATTTGTCGTTACTCGGTACCTCTATTGCAAGAACCCGAATTATTGTAAATACACATAAACAAATATTACTCATGGAGGGTGTTTTTGCCCCCAAAGATAGAGTACTTTTCCCAGACCTAATTTTATTATTCCAGATGGTGAGAATTGCCTTGAGAATTATAAACTTAGTTGTCCCTTAGGTTACCTTTTAGATTTTAGAGTTGCAGTAGGCAGTCGCTTTTTAAGATCGATAGCGAACAGTGGGGTTGTAGCAGTCGCACTTATGTAAAATCAGTTTCGTTCAGAGTCAAAATTAACTAAACCTTCAAATAATTTCGAGTTTTACTTTTTACTTTATTAAAATACCAGATAATAGGTACAAGGGCTAGAAATAATCCAAGATTACTACATTGGAGCCAGCGGAAAACTCCGAGTTCCTAACATAAGTGGCATCGGTCAACTCTGGTCCCTAACAATACTTGTCAAAGTATTTCAGTCAGGGCCTCAGTCATAACTGACAGTTGACATATAGCTCACCTTATCTATCAGTACTGTTTTCGTAACCCTAGTGTAGAACGCTCAATTAACTTTCTATAGACTATAATAAACTTTGCTTCCATCAGGGTACTTATTAGGTTCGTTCCAACCCAGCCAAAAACCGTACAATGTACGGTCACGGTCATGCGCCATAGGTTAAACGCGTTCCAACCGAGAGATGATCGTTTACCGTACAGTTTCGATGGCGTTCCAACCAAACCTGGGATCGTTCGAGAACTGGTTTTAGCACCGTCATTTCGATCCCGAGTGGAAAGCAAGAACCGCGTGGACTGATTCATGACTGGCATGCGTAATTCAATTTTTGTCACCTGTTTTTGTTGTTCATGTTGTTGTTAAACAACCAATTTCCAATCTAACTTATAAAACTGTAGCATTTTTATTTTTTCAAGTGAAAAAAAGTACAAAATTTATTATCAGCTATTTGCTAATCCTTGATGTTATCAGCTTGCAAGGATTCAGTTTTAGATTCTTGATAATGAATCAGCGTTGGTGTTCGATTTTCCTTTTTTATATATTATTTTGTAATCCTAATCCTATATTCTTCTATTTTAATTTGCAAACAAACAAATTTAGGGTTAAAGTTATTTGAACTGTCGTCATTACGAAAACGATCATGAAACCGTTCCAACTACCCGTTGTTTCTGTACCAAGATAAAACCGTGCAAGGTCAACGCATGCGCCTGCAATCGATCCTAACAGTTCCGAAACCGTTTCATGACGATACGAAAACTGGGGGTTGGAACGAACCTATTGTTTCATCGTCCCACACATAAATATCCTGATAGGTTATCTGCCCAGCCATAGTGATTATAGTTTAGTCAAAAGAAAAGTAATAGCGTTTTTGTTTTTGTGCTAACACGCAAAAATGGCCAGCGGTTCGTCTTTCGTGCCAATTGATAAGTTAACGGGTAGGGACAACTTCAGTGCATGGAAATTTGCAATGGGAGCACTTCTTGAATTGGACGACCTATGGAAGGTGCGGTAAAGGGAGAAGAGACAGCTGATAAGAAAGACAAAAAAGCTCTTTCCAAAATTCTTCTGTCGGTTGACAATATGAGCGACTCACACCTGAAGACAGCCAAAACATCCAAAGAAGCTTGGGAAAATCTAGAGAAGGCAGTCGAGGACTCGGGATTTACGAGAAGAGTTGGTCTTCTGAGAAACCTAGCTACCATTAAGATAGAGGATTCTGTATCTGTAGAAGCCTATTGTGACACATTAATCTCAACCGCAGATAAGCTAAATGAGTTAAACTTTAAAGTAGAAGATAAATGGGTAGGCACTCTGTTGTTAGCAGGACTACCAGACGAATACCGGCCGATGATTATGGGCCTCCTGGAAAGTAGTGGGGCTAAGATAACAGGTGATTCAGTGAAGGTTAAGTTATTACAGGATGTAGTAAGTAGGTACCAGTGAACCAAAGTCTGCAAATAACAATGGTGCTATGTTTTCTAAAAACGGTTCTAACAGAAACCTTAAGAAAAAGAAGATAAAGTATTTTAATTGCGGTAAAATTGCCACAGATTGATAAAGATAGCAATAAGAATAAGGGGATCACGGCTTTTCTGGCCTGCTTTTCCTCAGAAAAAGTACAGAAGGACGCATGGTACCTACTTGGATTCTTATGCTTCAGTGCACAATCAAAAATTAACAGTGGTTAAAGGACAATATGTGTCTATTAGTGAAGGTGAAAACATAAAGATAGCAAACAGTTCCGAACTCAGTATAGCGTCCCAAGGAACAGCGAACATTAGCGTGGTGATTGATGGTGAAAATAAAATAATACCTACAATAGAGGTTATGTATGCTCCTGATGCAGCAGTGAATTTACTTTCTATATGTGAAATTGTGCAAAAAGGTCAAGATAATATTTCAATAAATCAAATTATAGATATGTCAAATAAAATTGAAGCCACTGGTTTCGAAGTAAATGGCATTTGTCGCAGCTTGAAACTACTTTGAGTGGAGATGCCTACAGTTGGGCGAGCAGTTAGTGAAACACCAGTATATTCCAATGTCAAATATTCTAGCGGTTTGTGGCATAGACGATTACAACACCTTAACAGAAAGAATGTGAACCTTTTGTTATACAGGGTGAGTTTTTTAAAGTGTTACAATGCGATATATCAAAAACAGCTGCAATTTTTTTTTTGACGTTTTGGTGACGTAATAAGTACACGGGGGGACACATTTTACGATATTTTTGACATTTGCCCCTGCACTCTCTTGAGAGGAGTGGGGGGTCATTTTCTTATTTTAAATGGAAAGATGTGTTTTTTATTCTGAAATACAATTCTACATACAAAATGGAGTCTGTTCACAAATTATTTTTCAAATTGTTCAACTGAATATGGAATTATGACTAAAAAGGTTACTACGATAAAAAACACGGAACTCCACCCCACTATGCCATACAGGCCCGTAATCGTTTGAATAGATTATTTGGAAATAGGTGGATTGGTCGGGGTGGTCCTGTCAGCTGGCCTGCTCGTTCGCCAGATTTGACCTCGCTTGAT